CTTTAAACGGAAGGCCCGAGGGCTTTATTCACTAGATGGGAATAAATTGGGGTGAGATTAACTTCGGGGTAACAATTGTTTTCTCATCCGATTTAATTTGTCCCTTTATCTTGTATCAATTCGCGTTCCGATATGATAGTAAAATCGTACGAACGACCAAATGAAAAATCAAAGATCGATAAATCCGCGGAAGAATAGAGATCACCCGCACGACTAAAAAAAAAAAAAAGAGCGAATAAAAAATGAAATCCTCTCCTCTCATGGTACCACTGACTCAATCAATGAGTGAGGTATACCGTACTGTCCTGTCGACCAATCAATCGTGATCAAATGCCCCGAATATTCGTACCACCCCTACCAATACACTGTCACACAGATAAACACGTACACCACGAAGATCGCTATCTTTGAATATTTTTTTTCACTCAACCCCACACGATTTTTCGACGATTTTTTATTCAACCCAGAGCCCAATATTCACGTCACACCCAATATTCGCGACGGGGGGTACACTGTGGGGGGAACAATGAATGCACACGTGATTCCCCGAGCGAATCAATCCGACGGTTAAAAAAGAATGGAAGTATGGGAAATATAACTCAAAACCCCCACAGGTGGAAAAAGGCCACATACCGCGAGTTTACCGGGGGGTTAAATCCCTGTGGAATTCCAATGTGGATAGTCCCCAGTGGACGATTAAAGCCGTGGTTTCGACCCAACCTTCTCCTTACAACCATAAAAACTAAATAAAAAATAGACAAAAATTTATTAATCCACAAGTTGAAAAATAAACTCAAAAATCAAAATCTCTTCACCCCACATTTTTCATTCAATACTAAATCCATTCAAAACCACGAATAAAAAATAAATTATCCTCCCGAAAAATTCGAGTGCATCTTCAATAAAAATTCGTCTGAATTTTAATAACAATCCCAAAACCCATTATTCATCATTGTAAATAAAAGGAACATTGAGCCATTGAAATAAAAACGAGAGAAGTCGTGATATTAAATTTGTAATTTTTCCCACCGTAAAAGTTGAGCGGACGAGAATTTAATAACTCCATGAGGTAAAACTATACGCAACTATCATTAAATTAAAAACGAGGTGTTTCAATTTGATTTGGGGTGGAATAGTCTCTCGGAATTCCGTAAAAATCGAGTGAATTCGACTCTACAGAACAATTGCAACACCCAGACCATTAAATACACTCGATTGAGTTTCTCGGTTGTCATCGCCATTGGCAGGTGGCGGGGGTTGATTTTACAGGCTTCACAATTTTCCCTCACCCGTTCTAGTCCATGAAAAAAAAAGGGGGGGGGGGCGAAGGCGTCGCAAGAGACGCCCAACACTCACTGGCAATTGTCCAACTCGTACACGAAGTGAGTACGCGCTGTGACCATGAAAGAGCTTCTGGACCCAAACGCAGACGGAATTTAATAAAGGCTCTTTCTCCCGAGTCCACCTCCCCACTATTTCCACCTCCTCCCCCTATTCCTCCCCTTTTCACCCCCTTTTCACCCCCTTTTCATCCTTGTTTCCCCTTTACTGCGTTTGGCTTCAAAGTGGACGCACGTAACGAGGCGAACGAGCCCGAGAAACCAAGATCATTGAGAGTACTGGTGTACTTGAAAAAAATATATATAATGAAAAAAGAAACGATTCTATTTTTCTTTTTTTCTTTAGTTGGCTCACCGGAGCCACAGGAATTTTTAGATCAAGGGTAGTCCCGTGGCAAAAGTGATGTTAAATATTTTTCCGGATTTTAGAGGGAATGGAAAATTTTTATGAATTTTTTATGAAATTCTTTCCTTTTTACCGCGCCACTGGGATGAAGTGGAGAAATTTAAAGGCGGTTATTCACATCTGTAATTCTGACATCAAGCGGAAATAATAACGATGTCTTCTTCACGGCCACATGAATTATTCCGTTATTTTTACTGAATATCACGAGTCGAGTAATTGTAAATATAATTGCATAATTTTAATAATAATTCCATTAAAAAAATTTTTCCCATTAACACGCGTAATACAGTCGTACCCTAGTTTGATCCTGATGGTAAATTCATTTGACTAATTCGTTAATCTCCCTAAAATTTGTCCGGGAATCACCACTGAATTTTGAAATACCAAAACACAGTGGCATAACATAAATGCAAACAGGCGGAATATATAATCAGGGAAAATCGTTGGGTAGATTCGAGAATGGTATAGCGATCCCTGGGCACCGATGATGCGTGAAAATGTCGATTGTCTGCTGGGTTATGCCACTGGCCCATTGATAATTAGACTCGTATTAATGAAGATCTACCCGCGCCCACACGACGAGTACCGATAACTCGATTAGTTGGGCGGCCTCCAAAAATAATACGGGTTTTAGTTACGCAAACTGCATCAATACCCGGTGTTATTAGATTAATTAAATACCACCCGCATATAGGAAGTAATCTATTACGGCACAAGTGAAAAAAAAAAGATGAATACACGCCCAGTAACTATAGATACGCGCGCGCACTTTTCTACATGAATAATCAAAAAATTCATAAGTACACGATGAAAAATTTAATTAACTCCTAAATCGGTCTCCCTCCGCCCAATTTAGAAACCAATTTCCGCCTAAAATTACGGCAATTCCAATATTTGTCGCCGGATGATAGAGCGTCCTGTTTGATAAACTTTCGGTATAAACATGGAAACCCTGGGATAATGGAAAATGACGGTGAAGGAGACGAAGATGAATAAATAAGAAAATTGAAAAGTGCAACGAAGAAAAAAAAAAGTGAGATGAAGTTTCTCATGCAGCGAGCGATAAGGTAGCCTAATCCATCTTTCATCCACTCACTCTGTCATCCGTTGGTACCATGGCCATTGGAAAAATAGAAGGTAACGATGACGGGGAAAAAATTGGACAAGACGTTTGAGAATGCCATCGTTATCCAGGAGTCAAAGTTTGGATCCCCACGTCTAGCATAAAATTATTCTACGGGTGTGCTTCCAACTACACGTGCCCAACATGCTCAGTCCATCGTTAAACTTTTCAAACTAATTAAGAAAATTGAAACATTTTCACCAAGTTTCAATCTCTGAATAAATATTCCCCATTTTCTTATTTTCCGTGAACATCTAAAAGAGGTACAGCCAATTCATTAATTAATTCTCTCAATTCAGAGTGAACGACAAAATAATTTAGTGGATATCACCTTGAAAAATCTAAATCACCTAAATGAAAAAAGGGAAATATTTTTCAATGCTGTGGGATTTTTCGTTTTTCATCCCTTCGTCTGCAAGCCTCACCCTCTAATAGTGAAGGTTATAACGTTGATGGAGCGTTAACACTGTTAATTATGCGGGCACTCATACCACCCGAGTACTTGGCAGTGCTTCTAACTACTGGGTAGGATCAAAAGAGGGAGTAGTCGGGGGGAATATCCAACCAGTCATGTCATGAAATTCCATATTGAAATTTCAACGCCATATGAAACCACTACGATACGAAAATTCCACAGCGAAACCACGCTCATGGCATACCCCATGAGCATAACGTAAATGTGACGCTCATGAAGGGGTTGGGGGTGGAATATGAGGTTTCGAGGGCTCAATGGGGGATAGTGCGTGTAAATCTGAATATCAAAAGTATTCCGGTGGTGTAATTCTCGTTCTTTTTGTTTCCCAACCAACTGTATGAGAATAACTCCCGCAATTAATGCTTCAAAACAAAACTTATCCAAACCAATACGAATCAAAAAGAAATACGAATAGAGAAATTTAATAATTTTTTGAAGATGTATGAATGGAATTCGTTTTTATTGTTAATAAATTCGTTATTCATTGGGATTGGAGGTGGAATATGAGGTTTCGAGTGCTCATTGGAGGATAGTGCGTGTAAATCTGAATATGAAAAGTATTCCGGTGGTGCAATTCTCGTTCTTTTTGTTTCCCAACCGACTGTATGAGAATAATTCCCGCAATTAATGTTTCAAAAAACAAAACTTATCCAAACCAATACGAATCAAAAAGAAATACGAATAGATAAATTTGATAATTTTTTGAAGATGGATGAATGGAATTCGTTTTTATTGTTAATAAATTTGTTATTCATTGGGATTGGAGGTGGAATATGAGGTTTCGAGTGCTCATTGGAGGATAGTGCGTGTAAATCTGAATATCAAAAGTATTCCGGTGGTGCAATTCTCGTTCTTTTTGTTTCCCAACCGACTGTATGAGAATAATTCCCGCAAGTAATGTTTCAAAACAAAACTTATCCAAACCAATACGAATCAAAAAGAAATACGAATAGATAAATTTGATAATTTTTTGAAGATGTATGAATGGAATTCGTTTTTATTGTTAATAAATTTGCTATTCATTGGGATGTGATAGACATCAAGTCAAATGACCATGATGAGAGGTTGCAACATTAAACCCCTCAATTACCCTCGACCCATTCGCAAGTAATAATGAAAGGGACAGCACAAGACGCGATAATGATCCCCACCCACAGTCCTCGGGCTGACAAACACCAAAATTTCTCTCACCTAATCGAAAACGCATGACGATGGTCTAGCCATCGCCAGGGGAGGGTACGACGCCGGTACAGTAGTTTCGTATTATCTCTATGCCCCATTGTCTCATGATCACGTTCTAAACCGGACGTAATCCCCGTGGATATTCGAGGTACAGGAGTGTGCTCTAACCGTGAGCGAAATACTCGAAGCTATGGGTATTCGACTGGAATTTACTGATATCAAGGCTTTGGGATGGCATTCGAGGATCTAGACGCTGAGTTCGGGAAAGACGTGAGATGGTAAATCTGATATTTTTACGGAGATATTACTGATGTGAGATTTCAGTACTCTTCGCTCATGGATTCTTGCCAGTTTATTTTATTATTAATTTTTATTTTTTTTTCGTGAAAATGGAGGATCGACTCGCGAGGAAAAAATTGAGTAAAAATTATCAAACTGAAAATAAATAGAGTCAACTTCAAGTTGAATGGCATTTGTTAATTCATCCATTACGTCTCCCTAGATGTGGCACTCTTGATTAGGAAATTGTCTACTAAAATTCCGAGTTTAACCGATAAATCAGATCGTCTGAGTAACTGATATAGTTAATTCCAATAAAACACCTGACAATCCCGTTAAAAAATGCCAATAACTCAGCGTAATGGAAAGAAAACTCTCCGCTCAGCGAGAAACGTCAATCTTGTTGTGTCAGCAATGCGAAAATTGCGAGATGAAAATGGATGTACCGTTGGAAATATCATGGGCTATATCTCTACGTACTGTGACAAGCCAGCGCCAAAGCGAGAGGTGACGATTATGTTTTATTACCCAAATTGTGCCTAATCGATTGATTAAAATAAATTTAATTTAGCTCCAATTCCACACTGACTGCACCGACAAAAACCGAAATTGTTTAAAAAAGGATTTTCATATTTGTTTATTTTCTCTGGGTAATAGTAATAGTTGGGACTATGAATTTTTTTTTTACCCTTTGCCGTAGGGATAAATATTCTAGCAGGAAAACACCTGTGAATTTTTGTAATTCCGTTCCACCAATTTGTTTTCACATCCAAATAAACTCTCAATATCAACCGAATTTTATTCATTTTTTCAACTGAATTATTCACTTGTTAGTTACAATTTTTTTTCCACATGGATAAATTCATATTTTTGGACGTGGATTTAAAATTTTATTCTTGAACTGATCGATTCTCGAGATAATTGGACAATTAACGATATTCTCCCGATAATTATTTCCCCTCTTTACGCCACTCCCTATTCCGCTGGTAATTAAACTAGGCGAAATGTGGTACGAAATCAATGGCGACGTTCCGAAAATTCGTGGTATTTTTATCAGATAATAATAATATTAAAAATCCAGTTGAAGAGAAAATATTTTTCGCCTTTCGTGAGAATCTATTCAAATAAATCATGCATGGAATATATTTTAATATGATTAATCACTGATTTTATTTCGATTATATCTAATTAGGTGGTAGCAGCTCTAAAACGCGGCCTAGAATTTGGAATAGTGGATCGTAAACGCGGCCGATATTTCCTCCAGACTGATGACAAAACTATTGAGGATAAAAAACGAGGTACTCGTCCAAAATTACCAACTGACGATGAGGGCAGCGAGGTTGCTGTCGAGCAAAGGAGAACAAGTAAATCAGCTAAACCGAGAAAATCAAGACGTGTTGGCAAAGGAAGAAACGGTAAAAGAAAGACTGGGCGAAAAGCTGCGGTGAAGAAATCCAAGAGGGCCAGGATATCCAGGACAATCAGGCCATACAAATTGGACGATTTCTACAGAGATCTCAAGACCAGACCGTCAGCCGAATCCTCCCTGGAGTCTATGGATTACTTCCAAGGAGAAGATCCCTACACCTATTAAAATCGAGAGCCTATTCTTTAAATTTCCTTCAAAATTCAATAACCTGAGTGTTCCCATTAAATAGTGATTTTAACTACTGTGAGATAATTAATTTGGCAACTGTTTATTTCTTAATGAAAACTGAGAGACAAGACACGAATTTGGATATGAGAATATTTAATGATCAGTTTATGACTCATTGTTCAGCGCTGAGAATTAATTAATACGACTCGGCACCCCCATAAAACCGTGAATAGGAAATTGGCAGGTGGTATAAGCTGACCGTTGACAATAATCTAAGCTAATGAACGTTCCCAATATTCTTGGATAAATCCCGGCTTTTCATGACTGAAGTTGGGGAGCATCTTGGGAGACAGCTGATGGTAATCAGGGATATTCGCAACGTCAGCCGGGTATTATTGACGTTAGAACAGGGAACGAACAATATTGAATCCCAGGGTATTACATATTTCCATTATTCAATTTTCACGGAACTAAGAAAATACATATTGCCCCTAGATTTTCCATTAACTAATAAAAACAATGAAATCCACAGCGAAAACAATAAATCTTATGAATTTTTCTCTCACCGGCGAAAATCCTTTAAAAAATCCCAAATTTTTCCACTAAATTCTCTGAATAATTGATAATCCATTACCCAGTGGATTTAATTATTCAATAAATAAATTCAGAGGTAAAGTATTAATTCTCATACGAGCCAAAAAAAAAACCGATGATTTCTCGAAAGACCGGTATAATTAACGAGTCAGACAACCGATAACTGAGATAACTTAATTGAATCCAAAATACTCTAATAAATCGTCTGATTAAAAATTGCGGTGGGAGTGGATAAAATTTTTCGATAAATCAATAACGCAGATGGACATAAACGATTAAGACTGTAATCCATGTAATTATTTTGAACGAGGTAAAAAGGTCCTTCATCAGAGGACAGTGTATCATCCTCGTGCAAAATTAGTGGTAGTCTCTATGGTAAAAGGCCATTTCTGTGGGCAGGACTATAGCCCAACGAGACAAGGATTTACCCCCCTGTTAGAAGCTCTACGATAACACTGGACGATTATTCCCAAAGTTGGAGCTCATTAAAGGTAACATGCAGAGGGGCTTTGTAATGTCGTCACGAGCTTGCATAACGGCTACAAACTCTTGGGGTTCTATAACTATATACGACCTACATTTGTACGATATAGCGGTTATCAATGAGCCGTAAGGGTGTCGTAGACGTGTCCCGTTACTTTCTATTTAACATTTGTAGAACTTTAAAATCCCAGGGAGTGATAACGCGTAAGTGAATGTTTTTTTTTTACTGTCATCGGGGACGACTGATATTCCTGGTTTTACGTTCCGACTTTAAATCACCAGCTTGAATATTACTTACTCGCGATATTTACAAATGAAAATTTGTAAATTACGGGCTATTTCGGGAGAATACAATGGATGCAGCGAGAAGAAGAAGAGGCATTTTCCTTCTACGATAATTATCGATTTATCTCGAAGAATACTGAGTTCAGGTGGAAATGGTAAAGGAGCTTTTTTGTAAGTCGAGAAATTTCAGATGAAAACGGTCTTCTGGTCTTTCATCGGAAAATTAATAGTTTCTGAGATTAATCGATTTTCTATACTAGTGAGAATTAAAGTTATTGGCAAAGATTTTAAAAAATGGAAGGAATAACTTTTAGCGGGACTGAACACAATCTTCACAAGTTAACATGTCGGCATGAAGCAGTTGATTTGCCGATGAAAGACAGAAAAGGATAGTATGGCACTCAGTGACATGGGGTAGCACGCAACCAACACATTGTATACTTTCATATCTCCCCCGATCGATCCTAATCGGGGTCAGGGGGTATGAGTAGTAAAGAGAGTTGGGGTTTGTGCCTCGACTGGTCAATGGTTTGACTACACGGTCCCATATACCGGGGACATATCCATTGCCCATCCCCCCGGGTGAATTTCCGCAATGGAGCGTGAGGGTGAGAGAACGCGCTTCATCGGGGGGACATAACGCTGCGAACAAAAATGGAGGGGGTGGAAAAAAAAAAATGAAAGGGGTGAATAGAAAAGGGCGGTGATGGGGTGGCGGTTGAGGGAGGGGATTGAAGGAAGAAAAATGTGTGGAAAAACGCTGTCTCTGGCGCGTGGGCGTGATTGATCGTTGAATAATTGGAGATAATCGTGAGCTCTACTCCAACCAGTCTCATCGAACATCAAATAAGCACTCGGCCCGTGTCACACGATTTAATTAATCAGCTGACAAACAATTTAGATGTATTTCACGGGGAATTACTCGTTTGTCGAGCTGAAAGGGCTCAATTAAAGTTAATTAGTCTACTCGTCTCTTGTTGGAGTGAATTCATCGCGTCATTCATAAATTTTCATTTTTTTTTCATTTTTTTTTCATTTCAATCAGTGAATCACAACCACTTCAATCTCGATCTTCATTCTGATTAAATTAGGGGAAATGTGATGGGATATTTCACTTTGAATTTGTTAGTGGCAGCTGTGAAACGCGGTCTGGAATTTGGAATATGGAATAGTAGATCGGAAATAGGGCCGATATTTCCTCCGACTTGATGACAAAATAGATAGAAAATAGTGCGGCTATTTTTGTTATGATATCAAGATTATACCTAATCCAAAAATAAAGCCACTTGTCAATTTTAGAGATCGTAGAATCTCCTGATAAATTATTTCCTCCTCAAAGGGTGAGTAAAAAAGTCATTGAACGGAATGAGATTTTCTTATCTCGTGAGAATTTCCAAGTTTTCCCGGGACTAGAAATTATATCCTCTTCTATTATTGAAGGACTTTCTTTTCTCGCTGTGACAGCAGAATAACTTATTCCGAAATCTAATTGGTTTTTAGAATTGGCGGAAGAATGTTCTCTCGTATCAAGTGAATCTTCTTTGTCAAGTTTTTTTTTTCTCAGTGTAAAGAAATCGAGACGTGTGGGAGGAAAACGGGGAGAAGCTACGCTGAATAAATCCAAGAATACCAGGATATTCAGGACAATCGAGTCATACAAATTGGACGATTTCTACAGAAATACCAAGTCCACACCGTCAGCGGACTTCCACCTGCACTCATAGGAAAAAAATTGAAATTCCATAGATCGTTGACCAATTATTGTCAACGGAGAAACTATTCTGCCATAATATAACTTATTTCGATGAAGAACTCAGAAATATGATAATTCACAGAAACTCAACAAAATTCCCTATTTTTATTGAACAAACTTAAAATGAGTGAAGCCATATATTTTTCCTCAAAACCGGATGACTTGAAATATTTATGCATTTCTGTTGGAATGCGATAGATTATTTCTGGTAGATCTGGAAATAATTCCCACTGGCTCAATTAAATGAGACCGAGAATTTTGGCTCGAGGGAATAGATGAATGATGCAACCAGTCAAAATATTCTGGATAATATTGATACAGCATTCCTTGTTTCACATTGCAACCATCATGTTTTATAACCCCAACATCCTTCCGTCTCTCAACCCCGTTTATTTCTGCTTTCCCCTGGTTATTACGTGTACAGAGGGCCGTCATCAGCCGAGTATTCTAGTGAAAACGCTAAGCGGATTGCACAACGCTACACCTTCTCTTCGTGAAAATAGAATTAAAAAACGGTAATTCGTTACTTTCCGTAAATTGACAGTGGCAAAAAGAAAAAAATAATAGAGAGAAGAAAAAGGACTATAGAGACTTTTCCACTTCAATGAGTAGAGTATTTTCCGGAATTTTTCTTGTGTATCCCTCGAGCATGCGAATACCCCCATTTACCGCGTAATATCGTATAATTAACCATCGCCATAAGACGAGGTGAAAAAATTCCAAGAGCATCTCAATTTCTTCCATTTCGTTCAGAACCATTTTAATACATCAACCATCAACTAATCAAAACAGCCTGCAATAAATTCCGGAATGTATTCTTATTCGTCAGTGGCACACCCAGTTTCAAAATAATTCCCCCGAGAAATTGAAGAATCGCGGGATTTGCCGTTTACAAAGCTTTCATTTTTGACGAGAAAAAAAAAAAACTAAAACAAATTACACAGTGAAAAATTAGTAGAGTAGAAACAGTGGAAAAAATTACAAACTGCCTCTCCCAAATTTTCATCACTCCGAAACCCCAATATAAATCCTCCCATTTTTACAGTCTTTTTTTTTCATATACCACCCCCTCCCCCCTGCCCATAAATAACAGTAAAAAAGTGCAAAGATACGGTGGGTCCGGTGCACTACATCCACGGTTGCATCGTTTTGTGCCTTCCGGCTTTTTGATGTATATTCGCTTGTGCGCAACATCTGGATAAAAGCACTCGATTCAACCGTGCTCCTTTCTTCTAATCTTTTTTTTTTCACAATTCTACATTTTTCTTTTAACCCCTTTTTTGCCCATTCTCTTATTCCATTTTTGCCTGATCAAGTCGTTGAAAACTCATGCATTATACATGGAAGGGAAAGGGGTATATAGAAAGAGAAGTGAAACTGCTATCAAGGATTTTATATCGGCTCGTTTTCGCAAAGAGTTGGATATTTTATCATGAAAAAAGGGGAGGAGCCAACTGGAAAATCCGCTCACCCCTTCTCCGCAATCATCAACTTGAAAATTTTTTTCATCTCGCCGATTGTGAAGAGTTTGATGATAGGATGTGATTCTCGGAACAATTACACTCTATTTACGACTTTGAATTTGAATAAAAACAGGTAACGAACTTTCTACGTTTTTACTGGGGAAAATTAGTGGTGTAATTGAGGTTTTTAATTGTTTCAAACTACGAGTTGTCAAATTAAACTGCGGCTTTCCATTCGTTCTACTCTTACGCATTATTTGAGCATTCGAAATTTATAAACTGGCGTATGAAAAATTCTACTTCTATTAAACTTAAATGTACAGAGATTCCCAGTAAAATCGCTGGGAATTTCGGTAAAAATTTTAATGCCCATCGAAAATTTCCCCAAAAAATTCAGCAACACTTGAATTTTCCTTCTCTTTACATCGAATTCCCCAGAATAAATATTCACTTAAATAACTTCCCAGTGGTCATAAACTCCCACCAAATTTCCCCGAGCGTATTAA